GGCCCGCGAGCCCTCCTCTAACCCGCGTCCGGCCTGCAATTAAGCCCTGCGTCCAGCCCGCGCGCGGCCCGTCTCCTTCACTACTTTCAGCCCGCGCAAGCCCGAGCCTAGCCCGCAATGGGCCTGCGAGCAGCCCAGCCTCCATGCCCATCCTCTTGTCGGCCCAACAGCGGATTATCCACGGCCCAAGGGGATTTCAATGCGGCCCAGTGCCTATATGCAGCCCATTTTCGCACTAAGCTTTCTCTAGTCGCCAAGAATGGTCCAAAAGCTCCATTTTCGAGATGATCCGACGCGGGCGGTAAGGTAATTTGGGATATATTCTCATGGTGGAGGTATGTGACAATTTTAAATTACGAACCGAAGGATTTCTTAATTGGAGAAAATGGAGAAATTATTTGATTTATTTATGGATGATTATTTGGTGTGCTAGAGCGATTATTTGATTTATCCGTGGAAAATTATTTGATCGTTCGGAATATTATTGGATATTATTGGGAGTATTCGTGGAGTATTATGTGAATTGATCGTGGGTATTGTTTGATCTGTTCGAGGAGGCATTAGTTGATTTATTTGAGGAGAATTATTTAATTTGTTTGAGGAGTTATGTGATTTATGCGATGAGGATATTTGATATATTCGTGAGGATTATTTGACTAATTTGTGGAGCATTGTTTGCTTTGGCTGAGGGAAATTATTTGACTCGTTCAAGGAAACATTTGACTCGTTTAAGGAGGATTATTTGATATATTCGAGGAGAATTATTTGATTCGTTTGAGGAATTATGTGATTTATTCGAGGAGGCTATTTGATAGACTCTTGAGATTATTATTCGATTTATTCGTGAACCATCGGATTTATTCATGGAATTCTTCGACATATTTGTGGAGCTTATTGGATATATTTGAGGAGATATTACTTGATTGATTTGTGGAAATATTATGTGATTTATGCATGGTATTATCTGATTTGGTCGAAGAGATGTTATGCGATTTATGCGTGGAACACTTGATTTGATTGAGGTGTTATTGGATTTATTGAGGAGTATTATTTGACTTGCTTGTGGAATTAT